TTCGCTTATTTTCAGTCTACTCATTTGCGACTTCGAAGTGTCCTAGCGTTCAAGTGCTCAAGTTATACACGGTATATCAAGAATATAACCTCTAGATATAGCAGTACCATTTTCGACCCAAAGGATATGTACTGCGCTTAAATTTCGGGTGGTTGGATTTCTAGGTTTACCCGGGTTAATGATTAGCTGTGGATTCGTTTCAGCTTACTATTAGGCTTTTACAGTTTTCCACGTCAAGGCCAGTTTGAGCATACTTTAACCTTTTGTACTACCTGTTCTATCCGTTTTACTAGTTGTTTTTTGTGTTGCAGTTGACTTTTGCTAGAATCTATCGTACAACTCACATTTCAACGTAGACATGAAGAGCTGAGGTAGGCAACCAGGATGCTGCTTTGCAGTCACCTGTGTTTTGCATTATGACAAATGCAAACGCTGGTTCCACAAAGTATGCACAGATCTTCCGGTAACTGCTTACAACAGAATGATTAAGTTAGATACCAGGTAGGTATGTGGCACAAGAAACATGAATACCGAGGATTTGCCGGGCAACATCACCATTCTTCTGACAAGTCTACTAAAAAAGTTGTCAGAAAACCAGAAAAAAGCAGTCGCGTAACGATAAATGAACAATGAGCACTGAAGTTTACATCAGAAACTTCGAAAATTTTTGTATAAATGGAACACGTATCAACACTAGTGAGGGTATGCTGAAACTTAGTACCTTTCAAGAATCAACCTTGTTAGACTCTCTCAGCAAACTTGTGTTCCCCAGCACTGGCTCACCAAGTGCAACTATGGTCCCTGAAATGTATGTAGGCGATAGGACTCATGTCATTATAGTTGAGGAGGATCAAGTGTTACCTTAAAAAAATCTCGACAGCCCAGGTCCTGTAGCGGAATCCGCTGGCAAAATGGCTGCGCAATTCAAGCCTAAGATAGTCCAACCAGTCGGCAAGGGGCACATGGATCGGAAGCGCATCATATAATGTCAGATAAAAACGTGTCCAACATCAACGTGCCCGAAAACTTGTGAAAACGATCACGGTCCGAGATGATTTTCTCATAATAATGGGCCGTAAAGACAACTATAAACCTCATCTCAGTCTGCGTGACAGAAATGACAGGATGTTCTGGGAAGAGTTGAACAGGAAACTCAAAATGATCTTAATCGAGTCTTCTCTTAACAAATTTAAAGCAATTAGTCCCTTTGATAAATTTCGATTATGCAATGAGAACTATGTGGTATACATTTCGAACAATCTGATCACTTGTACACCTGCTAAAAACAATTATATATAAAAATATAATATTGACTTGTTATCCAGAGTAATTAGGTCTCAAATCGTGTTCACATTATTATTATTACTCTTATTATTATCCTTGGCTCCTCCTACTCCATTTCTAGTCTAATTGACTATTTATTTTTATTTTTCTTAAACGAACCACGGCTTACTCGGAAAAGTGATTTCATGCACCAAAATCATCCAACGCTCCTTCAAGTAGCGTCCGCCGAAACTACTGATGTGAAGGATGTCCTCTGGCCAATCACTTCCAGAAATCAAAAATGGACATAAGAATACTGCCTGATATATCATTTTCTGGACACAATTTCATCTGGGATATCCCAGAAACATCTTGTGAGACGTTCTTTAGCGGAAGAAATATCATTAGGCAGGTTGTCTCTGTAACTCAGAAGGACTCTAAGGAGTTATTCTGAGCGCTGACGTGGTGTATCAGAAACTGCAGCTTCTAAACAAGGACCATTTTCCTGGCCCAGATATGGTTCTTTATGCTTCAATCATGAAAAAATCGCCTAGCGTGACGTTCTCACATTCACTGAATCGAAGCACGTGATGGAAGATTGGTAGCTTATTCAAATTAGCACAGTCTTGAATGGAAGTCGATGCAGAGAACCTTTAGCCTGCTGGCCTGCAGCAATTCTCTCAACGTCCTCAAAGGTTATTGAGTTCATCATATGTGACGGTCTACATGAGTACTTACTATTCAGAAACTTTTCATATTAACAGCACAGTTTGCGGAAGGTTCATTCTTGTATAGCCAACCTGCTGACCGTCGTGGACAGGGAGATAACCATGCTTGATCGCAAGGGGGTTGATATCATATACTCTGACTTCCCAAAACCTCTTGATAGAGTCAGCAATATACGTCTCATCAATAAGCTTAAACGAATAAGTAACAAGCCACTGTTAGTCGATTTACTTACTTTGCATTTAAATAATAGGGTTTTTAAGGTCAGGGCAAACTCCACACTTTCTCAGGCTACAGGTTGTCCTAGTGAAATCCTCCAGAGTTCAGTACTAGGACCTCTTGCCTTGATTCATATAAATGACTTTCTCAGAAAGTATCTTCTGAGTTATTACTTTTCGCTAATGATATGAAACTCTGAGGAGACGTTTGCAGCCAAGGGGATAAGCCAGTACTACAGGAGGATCTGACTTAACTTCAAAGTTGCGCGGATAACAACGGACTTACCCTTAACACTTCGTGGTGTAAAGTAGACCATTCGAGATATGTTGCATACTACAAATACAACTTATGTAAGTGCCCTCTAGTGTTGTCTCAAGTTGAAAATATTTAGGGGTGTCGGTGCCCTATGATCCGAAGTCTTATGCTAACTGCGACAAAAGTGCCTTTGGAGCAAACCTTACACCGGTAACGTTGAAGCGGATTTTTGATCGGTTTGTTGAAAGAACTTTCCGTTTACTTTTAAACAGTTTTATTAAACAATATTGAGGGAATGAAAATATGGTGTTCCTTCTAACACTCCAAGAAGATGAAGATACATTAGAAAATATCCAATGGTGAGCCACGAAATCATTTCGGGGCCTCAATTTCAAGTTTTATGAAGAGCATCTCTAATCACTGAACCTTTACCCATCAGAATATAAGCATCTCAGGAGTAACCTTTTAATGACCTACAGCCCCTAGACTCTTCTGACCATCCCCTTAAATACCTGTTTAAGCTTAGTCCAAGAAACGGAAGACCATACCACAAAACGGATTGTGGGCTACCTCCTACTCCTTGAAAGTGGTCGAATACTGGAATTCGCTGTGGAACGATCTTGTTTAAGTGACTTCCCAGGAGTCTTTTAAGAGGAAACTTGAAATATTCTTAAGGACTAAAGGCAGTATATTGGTGTACTTTACTAATATTTTCCTCTTTTGTTGTTAAATATACCTAGGTTATTACTCAGATTTATCGGTGATCCACTTCTACTAGGTATGGAAGCCTGTTAAGCGAAAGCTTTTTCTATTCCGTCCAAAACCACTTAAACGATTTGCAAGTTGTCACGACAATTCTGACATCCGAGTTAGACCTGACATGTCTCTCGAACATAGAATAAAAAGGAAGAAAGCACTAGCTGAACTTGAAATCCGTTGGCAAAACGGTGAGGAAAATATCCGGCTAGTGGGTTTTTGGATAGTCAGATCTTGGATGCGAATGCTACCAAGGCCTGTACAGATAGGTCGTTCTACTTAGGAGTTTTATACTCCAATGCTCGTAGTCTACGAAATAAGTTATATGAACTAGAAGCACTAGTGGACAGGTTAAAGCCACTCGTTGTAGAAGTGACAGAAACTTGGTTAGTCCATGACTTAGACATTACTCCAGAATTATCCGGATACCATTGCATCAGGAGTGATAGACATAGATGTCGAAAAGGAGGTTGCGTCCTGTTATATATAGTCAATAGCATAAATATCCACTCCTCTGCTAGCGAATCCCATGATAGCGGTACTTGTGAAGTCATTAGCTTTAAGCTGGCTATCGGATGTAGTACATTTATGCTCGGTGTCATCTATCGCAGCCCAATCTGCTTGGCTGATGACTTTATTTTAGAGCAAATTCATCTTTAAAGTGCAACTACCAGCTGCTTGATACTAGGAGACTTTAATGCACCTGATATTAGTTAGACTGAGATGACCACAGAAGGATCTATAAACTCCTTTGATAGTAGGTTCCTGATAATAATGATGGAGCATGCATTAGTGCAGCATGTATCCAAACCCACACGTTTTGGTGTTCTCTGTTGAACTCGATAATCATTCATGAGACTGAGGATATTGTAAATCTAAATATACTTCCACCGTTAGTGAATAGCGATCATACTGTTTTGTCATTCGCGTTTAGAACTAGGGACATGATATATGATCAGGTTACACCTCGCCCAAATATATGGAAAGCTAATATATCAACCATTCAGGAATGCGCTGCTAAGACAGATTGGTTAGTAGATACTAGCATATCAGTTGAAGGAGCATAGGTCGATATACCTCCTATTCTTATTACTGAAGAGCTAGGGTTCGACTCATTCAAAACTGTGCGTTACCGTTTGGTTTCGCCGATTGGGTTTTGTTAATTGTACCTTTGTGTCATTGTTAAGTGTTGTCTCCCTTCCAGATAATACTAATAATTACCACAATTCCCCGGCACACCACATATATATTTTTATATACTTCTAAGCTAGACAAGGACAGTATCATACTATGATTTACCAATTTCTTTTCCTCTTTTATTGTTAACATATCTAGGTTCCTGCCTGGAGGATTTGGTGATCCCCTGCTACTAGACACGGAAGCCTGTTAAGCGAAAGCTTCTTCTATTCCGTCCACAACCATTTGAACAATCCTACCGAAAGCTAAACGTTACATTTAGTGTTAAAAGTCAGATATGGCTTGCTCACAGCCTGACTCACGTTCATTAAACAGCAGCCGTCCCACTATATAAAGCGTTATCCCTAGTCACAGGAAGCTAAAATACCGCAAGCACTGAGGATAGTTTTCGTGCTAGAGCTATATATATATATATATATATATATATATATATATATATATATATATATATATATATATATATATATAGCTGCTAGTCTATTCGAAGTCTCGTGTACTGTTAGTTGTGGTTGTCGAGTTGACTTGGACTCGTGCTATTACTGGCCATTACCGATTGTTTTCATTTCTAAGTGGTTGCATTGTGTGTGACTACAGTTGTCCGGTCGCTCTTTTTCTTCTTAATAGCTTTGTGGCACCAGATGTTCGTGTTTTTAGTTAGAAAGTCCATCTATTTCAGGCGGTCAACATGTTTTTGCTGCATGATTATTAATCAGAAAGAATATTAATATCTAGAGAATAAATTCAGAAGGATTCATTTACGATTGTCATTGTTAAGTTGCATTTTTGAGGATGTTGTACATTTACATTAGTTTTAGTAGTACTACAGATGTTCTTTTATCATCCCTCTTACTAATAACGTTTTCGTCATTTCAGGTTCTTGATGGATAAAAATAAAATTTAAGCCTCTTCGTTTCTAAGAGCTCTTTTCTACAATCTGACGCAGATACCAACCAATATTCTGCTGTTTTTAGTTATCGAAATTTAAAGTCTGATCTCTGACTTATAACCACGGAAATTTCCGTTGAAGCAGTACTAGTAGATAGTGTGTTACTTATGGCTGTCCAGCTCACTATTTTGTCTCCAGATTTTGGCTCATGGTGACTTAGTTCAAATATGGTTGATGTACTGAGTAAATTGACATTTGAGGTAAGTTCTGCAAAAAGTTTGATGGTATATTTTTAAAATCATAAAAATGCATTTCATGCTAGCAATGTTTTTCTCTTACAGGAGAGGGACGAAGAACGTTTTGAGGATTATACAGCTGTAACTGACTGGGAAGTGTGAGTTACAACTCAAATTTACTATTTATAAATTAGTTTCTTCATTTTACTTATCAAAGTAAGGGTAACGGGAGTTTCCAAAATAGGTAATCCCAGATGTTTAAAGCATCCCTTGAGTAGCATAAAATTACATTGAGAGTCTTACTGGCTTCAGATACAAAGTGGTAGTCAGAAAGTTTGTTATGTTGTGATTCAGTTACCTAAGTAGTTCAGTGGATTCATTACAAGCGTGTCACTCAGGTTCGACATTTATTATTAGTGTGATAGTGTTACTGTCAATGAGACTGAAGCATGTAAATGAAGCCTGTGATGTGTCTAAAAACAATACCTCAAACAGTCAGGCTAGTAATTAAGTGCCCCAATTAGTTTCTCTATTAGCTCAACAAACCATTATTCACTCCTATTTGTGGCCCATTATTTGCACAATGCGTTTGTCAACAACTGATAAAAGTAAGTAGTGGTGGGTAACTTGTTTATCCCTATGGTTGATTTTAATTTGCATTTTGTGAGTGGTCTAGTGATATTTTTTGTCTGAAACTATGACCTTAGCCCCCAAATGCCCTGGTATAGCCGAGAGTGGGGTGGGTCCTTCCTCTCGAAATGCTCTCACACGGCCACGCGCACACAACCTCTGCCAGGGAAGTCCTACTCACTGCCTTCTCGTGGTGGGGGTGTTCTTTACGGAATTGCGAGGACGAAAAGCGAGTGTCCGGCGCTTTAACCAAATCCCAAACCAATGGTGCACATGGGCTCCAGTATCCTGCGGGAACAAATGGTGTATGAACCAATCGTTGGTCATCGGCTACCATGGGAATGCATCTCCTCACGATCCTCCACTGCCTTGTGGGTTAGACTTTTAGGTCAAAGGCTCTGGTTGTGGCCCCCTAAGAAAACCACCTGCTTGGGTTTGGGCACCCAGGCAGTATCCCAGCACTCACACAAATCGAATGATTTATGTGGCGCATACCTATTTGGTGCCTCCTTGTACCGATATTTATGTGTTTAAATAAATAAAGATGACCGGAGGTTCGGATCTTTTATTTATTAATTAAAAACTACGTGCTTTAGTCACCAATAATTCACCATTATTCTGTTGGACAAATAACTTATACATTCCACCGTTATTATCTTATCACCCATTCCTCATATTTCAGTTTTACACAAGAACTTGAAAATTGTTTAACAAGTTGGATGATAAAACAGGACAGTGAAGTCGTAAGTTTCACTGGTCAAGTTTTTTAGATATTTCCACAATTATCATATCTAAAGCAATTAGTCCCTTTTATAAATTTCGATAAAACAATGAGAAGACGGAGTTGATCTGAAAAATGTGATGTATTTGCGCTATACATTTCGAACAATCTGGTCACACATATACTTGTCAAGGCACTTTTATATGAAAATTAATAAAGGTCAAACAAATAAAAGTACAATTAAAATAACTAAGGGGAGAGAAAGAATAAGAACTTGTCGTGTTATCCTAGGCCATAAAATGACTTAAGGATTACCAAGGTAAATTCAAGGTTACGACAAATTGTTTTTGTACACATAAGGGGGGTTTAAATTTACGAATAGCTAAGGCTTCAATAAACTTAAGAATTCGACCTTGACAATTTCTATACAACATTCTAAATGCTGAATTAATGTCAATCTTGTGCCCCGTCTCAATTATGTGTTTTGCTATCGATGAACTTGGTTTTCTACCTCCTACATTGATCGGGTCATTTGACACACACTGATTTTGAAGACATCTGGGCACATGCTCATTGACCCTTGATTGCATTGTTCGATTACTCCTCCCTATGTATGTGTGTCCACACAAACATGTAAATTGGTAAATACAATGGGATGTGACGTAATCATTAATGCATTGTTTGGGTCTATTAGGAATCATGGCCTTAGACTTTTCAATCACAACCAACTGAGCAGCATAATACGTATTCTCAATGGCTGCTTTCAATCTCTGTCTTAAAACTATACTGTTTGATTCGCCTCTATATGGTAGATTGATGTAAACCTTTTTCTTTGGCACTGAATAAATTAGAGGTCTTGGCATTAACTGACTTTTGCACCTATTAATAAACTTGAGTGGATAACCATTAGCTATTAAAGTGTCAGTCAGTAACTTTTCGTCTTTTTCCACCATATCAGAGGTACATATTCTTCGTGTCCTCTTAAAGAGGCACTTAACTAGACCTCTCTTGTATTGCAATGGACAGAAACTATGGAAATTTTAGTATAGTCCTGTCCAAGTTGGTTTCCTATACACGGACCGTCTAATAGTGCCATCATCCCTTCGACTTAAAAGTATGTCTAGGAAGGCTAATTGGCCATTACTTTCTGGGCCTCTCTTAGCTGAGGTATTCATGTCATATGTGGAAAATATGACGAGCGACCTCATCGGTGAGACAACTTTATATAGAAGATATATGGACGATATTCTAATTATATGTGATAAGGATTTTGATGTTTACCGATTACTGGATAAACTCAATGATGTTCAAAATGATATTGTGATGACACATGAACCAGAAAGTAATGGCCAATTAGCCTTCCTAGACATACTTTTAAGTCGAAGGGATGATGGCACTATTAGACGGTCCGTGTATAGGAAACCAACTTGGACAGGACTATACTAAAATTTCCATAGTTTCTGTCCATTGCAATACAAGAGAGGTCTAGTTAAGTGCCTCTTTAAGAGGACACGAAGAATATGTACCTCTGATATGGTGGAAAAAGACGAAAAGTTACTGACTGACACTTTAATAGCTAATGGTTATCCACTCAAGTTTATTAATAGGTGCAAAAGTCAGTTAATGCCAAGACCTCTAATTTATTCAGTGCCAAAGAAAAAGGTTTACATCAATCTACCATATAGAGGCGAATCAAACAGTATAGTTTTAAGACAGAGATTGAAAGCAGCCATTGAGAATACGTATTATGCTGCTCAGTTGGTTGTGATTGAAAAGTCTAAGGCCATGATTCCTAATAGACCCAAACAATGCATTAATGATTACGTCACATCCCATTGTATTTACCAATTTACATGTTTGTGTGGACACACATACATAGGGAGGAGTAATCGAACAATGCAATCAAGGGTCAATGAGCATGTGCCCAGATGTCTTCAAAATCAGTGTGTGTCAAATGACCCGATCAATGTAGGAGGTAGAAAACCAAGTTCATCGATAGCAAAACACATAATTGAGACGGGGCACAAGATTGACATTAATTCAGCATTTAGAATGTTGTATAGAAATTGTCAAGGTCGAATTCTTAAGTTTATTGAAGCCTTAGCTATTCGTAAATTTAAACCCCCCTTATGTGTACAAAAACAATTTGTCGTAACCTTGAATTTACCTTGGTAATCCTTAAGTCATTTTATGGCCTAGGATAACACGACAAGTTCTTATTCTTTCTCTCCCCTTAGTTATTTTAATTGTACTTTTATTTGTTTGACCTTTATTAATTTTCATATAAAAGTGCCTTGACAAGTATATGTGTGACCAGATTGTTCGAAATGTATAGCGCAAATACATCACATTTTTCAGATCAACTCCGTCTTCTCATTGTTTTATCGAAATTATCATATCGTTTGCTTTTCCCTTACCATTATTTTCATTATGAATTATGTTGCATTACTGAATAATTTACTGTTATCTCACATATCTCACGTCATTTCTGTTTGTCTCTGTGTAATTGGTGCAGAGGATATAAATAGAATGAAAAAATTTGAGCCGCCGGGATGTTGTAAACTAGCCACTAAATAACGATTTACTTCACAGTAATTTACACTTTATTGAATTATTATGAAAGCCTTATCTGTAACAACGAAACAAAATGTAGTCCCATTTGATAAAGATGCTGAAAAAATGCATTGTTTTTATCACCTTAAGCAACAATGCTACTATGTTTGGAATGTTTCTCTCCCTCTAAAAGTAAAATGTCACTTCGGTAATGGTCTGTGTCATTGCCTGTATTTATGGTAGTGTGTGAAGTAGTTAGGTGTGTTGACCGCCTGACTTGTCTGGCGAGTCTTATCAGTCCTCATGGGTTGTGATTGACGAAATCTCGCTACGAATTGACAAAGCTCAGTTGACGTTCGTCATCTCGCATCACTTGTGACAGGTGATATATCCATCTACCAACCAAAGGGGTATATGCTGGGCAGGAGTCCGCTTTGTATCACTTCGTGGATGTAAAATATAATCTCTAAAAGTAAAAGTCACTTATGAGCTACCATAGTTATCGTGAAACTACCGTACGAGAAATATTAAACTTGGGAAATAGAGTTAGCAATGTTGGAACATTGATTGATAAGGTTATGAATCATCATCAACTGAGGCGTTTAGATCAAATGATACGTATGTCTAATCACCGCTTACCTCGATAGGTTGTGTTTGCTGGTGTAGAAGTAAGTTTAAAGAAAACTAAGGGCGACTGAACTAAGATATGTCATCAGCTCATGAAATCATTGGTTGTTGGTCTGAGCTATGTTAGTAGATGCAGAGTACTTAGTCGGGTTCCGTGTGATAACCGCAATCAAGTGCTTAGAGACTTAAGGTGACATGTTTTAAAATTATTCACAATGGCGTAGATACATTCATTCTCTGTCTTTCTCTCAATCTTGAATTGAAGTATTCCTTCACACATACCTTTCCACTGTCTTTACTTGTCATTGTCACTACATTATTCTTCTCTGTTAATATTCATCTTGTTAGTTTATCTCCGTTCTAACGAATAGTACCAGCATATATATGTACCAGGCTCTACTCTTATGATTACCCACTAACTGTTGATAAATTCCTTTGGTAATAACTAACATTTCTTCTATTCTCGCTACCAACCCTATTTACATTGCTTAAGCTTTATCCCTACACACTACCAATTATAATGAATTAAGTTCACGAAATGTTACTACAGGGCTCCTGAGACCGCGCTTCAAACTACGTTTGGGAGCTTTCAATGTTCGGATGTTAAGTCAAATTGGACAAACAACATAATTATCTAGGAATTTAGAATCTCGTGCCGTTGACTGGATAGGAGTATCACTATCTCTCACAAAACATATAGTCTAAAGACAAAACCTGCTTTGATGTAAAGTGTTAAATTGGACAAATAGTCGCTTTTATCTCATTTAGTGTCCATTTTTGCTGTCTTAAACACTTTATGCTAAATTTTAATTTCTGGTAAATTCGCACACGTTAGTGTTTTTTTGAAACAACCATTTTTGTCGGTCATTGTAACAGAATAGATACTTGTTCAACAAGTATAAAGATTTCGATAAAATGTTGTATTTCCCTGTTGTTGATATCCACTACCGCAGTTTATCAGATTCGACATTAAAATGAGTGTGGCTTTCTCTTCTTTTTCTCTAACGATACATTGTGAAGGCATGAGTATAAATATCAGAAACCGTGGTTGTCATCAAAATATTTACTTGGTATGTCTGAGTGCACCGTTTTTTCCCGCCAAAATATATGAGGATGTTACATTCTGAGAAACAAATTATCTATGACTAAACCCGTTAGCATTCTACTCTAAACTAGTTATTTATTTTTCTCAGTACCGTCATATGACTCATCTGGCCGAGATATTAAAAATACTTTAGAAATTTTACCAAACAGATAAATACATTCTTCGAAAACATCGAATTCACTTTCGAAAGTGAAGATGAACACAGCAGACTACCATTCTTAGACCGTTTAGTTAGAAGAAATTCTAATGGAAGTCTTAATCTAACTATATATTAAAAACTGGCACATTCGAATCAGTAGATTGATTTTAACTCAGTACATCCATTCAGCGGAAAAATTTCCATAGTCCTGAGTCTTTAGAAGAGCAACCAAGATCATTACTTCAGAAGAAGATAAGCGTAGAGAAAAAGACAATATAATAAACATCCTACAATTTAATAATTTTCCTAAGAATATTATTAAAAACAAAACTTTCCTTTTGTAAATAACAAATTTAATGAAACGGATTGGTACTGTAGTTTTACCTTATCGCCAAGGTACGACGGAATAATTACAACGGATATTGCAAACATACAAAATTGAAGCTATCTATAGGATAACTGACACTCTAAGAAACGCTTTAGTTAGAATAAAATATAAGATCTCGTTCACTCGTACACGAAATTTTGTCTTGAGGATTAGGTTGTTTCGATTGTGATGCGTTCTACACTGGAGAGTCTTCCTGTGAGATCTCGACTCGAGCCAAGAAAAAAGTTTTCCACAAAAATACCTAATAATCCCATAGGATTAGAAAAGCTAGAAGTTAAATCAGTGATAGCAGTATCTGCTATATTTAATAATCACCAAATCGATATTAAAAATATCAAAACAATTCAGTTTTTTCCAATTATCAAGAGAGGCGAGTAACCGAAACGTTTTACACAATATTAAATCCCTCTTTCCTCTATGGTAAAGAAGACCTATGATGCTGGATGAGTGTGAGTAATAAACTTAAATCACAGTTGTTTTGGTGTTATTCGTTGGTCGATTTCTTGGGGTTTTGGGCGAAACAAACTGAGTTTGGCTACCCTTATAAACATCAACACTGGGAACCAGGTACGTTCAACTGACGAGTTCTAAGTACAGTGAAATGAAATTCCTGTATTCTATTCACAGCCACACACCTAATGCACTTAAGCTTGTGACAACTGTTTTGAGACAACCCGTTTGGTGACACCGACTGGTCAATTTCAGTCCTGAATGTAAATAAACGGTGAATTACAAATCTTAACTAAAACACGTCAAATAAATAATGTCCATAACTAGCCATCACTCAACTAGTTTTCACTTCCATCAACTTAAGACCTTGGTTACTGTTGGTTTCGACTATCCTTCTCTGTTTCATCCAGAATGTCTACAATCTTATCCATTGGTGCTTCGCGCTGAAATGTTAACATTTTGCTGTAGTAATATCGTTATTATTATATTTATTTCTAGTGTGATAAATCATTTATTTTTAGTCTTCAGTTTGTGGACGTGTTCAATTTTGTGGAAATTTAAAATTTGGTGAGAGAATCTTCAATTTAAGTTACTATAAATCTTGCATTGAATCTGAACAAACTAAGAATTCGACCCATACAATCACATCCGAAAGTAGTAGGTGTATAATATCTTCATTTCGATTATTCTAGTTTCGAGAAACTGTGTTCGTGTTATTACTCCAATACCTGATTTCAATGGACAATTTATTATTCCATTATTCTGGTGAGTATTGTGTTTAATTCTCTACATGTTGAAGGTGTGTGGTGATAAGGGAGGTTTAATCTGAGAAGAATCGCCTGTCTTTTTCTTTTTGATTTTCAATGATTTTTTGTTGTTGACGTCAACTGATAATAACTGTTAATTTGCTTTTATATGACATTTGAGTGACCTTTAAGCAACGCCAAATTGACCATGAAGAAATGCACCTGCCTACTAGAGTCGAAAGGGTGTTTTAAATTAGTCTGAGAAATCAGAATCACAGTTTAAAGTTGGAGGTTAGGGTTAGATATTACAGTTAGTATTTTCATTACAAACTGACAACTGTAACGCCAAAATCCATAACTCGCTACATTAAATCTGATTTTTTCGTTCAGAAATTATAGTCTCATCGAGATTTGTTAATTACTATAATTATCTCAAAATGTTAAAGCCCGTTGAACATCACATTTCAGAGGAAGATGTAAAATCATACTTGCTTATACGGGTAACATTTAAGGTGTGATTGTCAAATGATAACTTATACTATCATGAGGAGAGGTACAAGCTACACTGTTTCATTTGATAAGGTTAGCGTAAACATCTGCGAATTGTTATTAAACAGTAGTCTAAGTGGTTATTTTCAAAGGTAAAACTTTGTCAGCAGTGTAAAAGAAGCAATGTATAACTAACTCTCCATTGAAGCATTTCAACATTAGCCTATTTCAAGTGAAATAATATCAGGATTAACTTCTGCTTAATAAGGAGAAGTTTCTTTCGTAAGTTGTTTATACTAGTTGATGACTGTTGATATACGTTTTAATTATACTCAAAGCATAGAACATTGATGAACATGGTGGGTCTGATGCAGATGTGAAAGCGCGGACCGGTAAAGCAAGAGCAGTATATTTACAACTGAAGAACATCTGGAGCTCAAAACAACCGTCAACCAACACCAAGGTCACGATTTTCAATACAAATGTCAAGACAGTTCTACTGTATGGGGCAGAAACCTGGAGAACTACAGAAGCCATCATCCAGAAAATAAAGGTGTTTATTAACATTTGTCTACGCAAAATGCTTCAGATCCGTTGGCCGGACACTATTAGCAACAACCTAATGTGGGAAAGAACAAACCAGATCTCGGCGGAGGAAGGAATTAGGAAGAAGCGCTGGAAGTGGATAGGACACACATTGAGGAAAGCACCCAACTGTGTCACAAGACAAGCCCTCACATGGAATCCTGAAGGCCAAAGGAAAAGAGGAAGACCAAAGAACACATTACGCCGGGAAATGGAAATAGACATGAGAAAAATGAACAAGAATTGGATGGAATTAGAAAAGAAGGCCCAGGACAGATTGGGTTAAAGAATGCTGATCGGTGGCCTATGCTCCATTGGGAGTAACAGGCGTTAGGAAGTAGGTAAGTAATAGAACATAAAACTTCGTACAATTGTTTGTATTGATAAATTATTCTTGCTTAACATAAACTATCAATTACTATCAGTAGAACATATCTCTTTTCCTTTTTTGTTTCTTATTTTTTCATGTTTAATAACATCTAGGTTTGGTTTATCTCATGCATTCATTTTAAAACCTGATGATGGTGTGATTAAAGGTGGAACACGACTTAGTTTATTGCTTAGTTCAGTTGAAATGGCTGTTTATGCAACACGATGGTGAGTTTAATGAGTATAAAATGTATTTCTTGTTAACATCTCTCTTCTATTATGAAGTAATATCAGAATTAACACATGAATTTATCTGAATTCAATTAGCTCAATAAAATTACCAATTATTAGAGTATCTGGTCAGACCCTTTTCTTTAGTGGGATATTTTTCAAAGATTTATTTCTAGGAGGGGGGAGGTTAAGGCTAATAAGAGTAGGACAAGCTGTAAAACACATATGGAGAAATTCGAACACTTCACTTCTATCTGAAGTTTATACTGATGATGTCGTTCAGAAGAACGATGAAAGCTCCACGACCAAACAATCCAGCTCAGAGAACAAAACTCCATCAAAAAAAGGTTAAACCTGTCCATTCTGTTGACAATTATGCATTCAAAATAAGAAGTACTCTATATTCGTTTAGCATACATTATGTCTACTGCAAACGTTTTACAATTCCTACATTTATTGGTATTTACGAGAAAAAGTTAAGTGTAAAGGTTTCTTGCATCAACATATAGTGTTCCCTATTATGATAAATTACCAGGTACAGATTCATGTAATTGGTTTCGAGCTACATTCTAAGTGTGAGAGCTAATTATTACTACCTGGTCGCTGGAAACAGTGTAGTTGATGATGGATTTTCAGTGATTTGTTTGCTTTATGTTGATTAATATTGTTTTTAGGTTGTTCATATCTGTGAAGAGAGTCTACGAAATAAATGAATTCATAATATTATACTTCAGTTGTTTTTGATTAAAATTATATTTACTATGGCAAAGAGTGGTTTATCACATTTTCGTTCCTGTACACACATGTCAAAGCTGAAGTGTTTAATTATAAGACGATATAAAATAGATCAAAATTAGCATTTATTGTTTGTTAATATTTTAGGGATATCCACAATTGTCCACTACCTGAACATCTTGTTGTGCTAATGAGGTATGGCAACTTGAACCGATGCATATATGTGTTTGATCCTACGTTGTAGCTGACTGATTGACTGCCTGTTAAGTGCCTGACAATTACACTTATGAATACTTTATTATCTTTCAGACAGACTACTACGAACATGTGAAAATCTAATAGAAATTTGTCTCTATAGTTTTTTTATATCTATACTCTACTATAAGTGAATGCAAATTAATAAATACAACAAGAGATGACATTCAAAGAATATTAATCTATTTTTAACAAGTTTAATAACCATTTAGTTTTGTATAGTGAAGTCAATTGGGTTCAAGGGAAATACTGTGTTGATATTGAAATAGATTGAGTTAATTCATTCATGAATAGTGGCTAACATTGTTATCTAGGACGCGCGTTCCTTTTTGGGACTCGTAAGCTGGATATACCTGCATTCCAGAGTTGATGTTCAATCGGGGACTCGAACAAAGCGCCGTCCGCTTTAAACACCATCGCGTTATCCACTTAGCTACGAAGTCTCGATAGCCACCTGCTTATGCAATCTGTTGGATATTAGTTTGAAAAAAAACGAATTTTCGTCACAGATCAATATCATAAATTGATGGAAATTCAAAATAGGTGCTCTAAAATTTCAAATCTTAACTAATAGTGTTATTCGTCTAGAAATTTGAAGCATTTATGCTGGATCTTTAAGGGAATGTGGTTGATGAATAAATACTATTTCGAAGTCTTATAAACTAAGATAAAAGCATTTATCCAATGCTCTCCTGGTTTCTTTTTTTTCATTGTTTTTCCTTCTAGCTGAAATGAGTCGTATAACAAAGAATATCTTTGAAAGAAATTATTGTTTAATATTCCCCTTTGAATTTAACTTCTTTCACTATTAATATTATTATTTGCATTAGTATAGTCCTGTACCAGTTTTGGTGGAACATTATGGACCTTCATATTTTGGTTTGGCTGCATCATCTTGTCTTAAATCAAGTGATTATACGAATTATCTTCATAATAATATCGATACTGTATCATCGTCATTGTCAACTTCTAATCGGATTGGTTCATTAAATATTGATTTTACTAGTTGCCGTATTGAAAGTGAAATATTAGCGAATTGTACACATCTTAGTGGGTTAAAAGAAATATTCCTTACTAAATTGGTAAGTATCATTGAAATGATTTAAGTGGGTTTTTTTTAAACATTTTGTTAATTTCTAGGTAGTATTTCTTTTTATGACTTGGTCATAGAAAAACTACTAGCTAGTATGGATCTGAATTAATCTGCCCCGAAATGCCATGGTACGGCTGAGAGTGGCGAGTCAACTCTCCTTCTCGAAATTCTCTCATATGGCCACATGCATACAATCACTCCAAAGGAAGTCCTACTCACTGCCTTCTTGTGGTGGTGGTGTTGTTTACGAAATTGAGAGTACGAAATGTGAAACTCCGGCGCTTTAACCTGGTTGATGGATACGGACATTATGCACACTATTTAGTTAGAACATTTTTATTTTTTATTTTTGCGATTCAGGTAAGGCTTCGTCGAAAGCTTGAATTAAAACAACTCAGATATTTTTATAGATGTACATTAAAATGTGTTAGTTTTACCGAACTGATTTTCCGATGCCTTTTTTATTGTACAGGGTTATCCTTGGAGTGTGAATTATCCTGTTCCAAAATTAGATATTTCAGCCAGATTCATATATCATCTACCATCATGGTCGTCATTACGAGGTAAGTTGTAAATGTGACATATGTATACTTAATACTTATTAAATAGTCTGTCTAGTTATAATCAACTCAGACCCTGTGCTTATATTTGCTTATATTATTTCTTTGTTTTAGTTTCAGAAATCTTAGAAATTTACATTGATATCCCCCTTGATCGTAGATTGAAACTAATGTACGAACCTTAATCAAGAACTGTACATCCTGAGGCTTCGTTTTCCAACATAGCAATTTCATAGTTGTTACTACGTTCTAATACCATCACTCTTAGCCTTCTTCCAGTTTACTTCTGTGCTGATCACCATTAAGTATTTGGTGCAACCACCGAATAACGGTCTAGTTCCTGTTATGGAACTCCACGGCAGTATGAACCCACTGTTCTTCGCAAGGTCGAACTGAAGGACTACTTTCTTGAAGAGCCGATATCCATAAACCGAATCAAATCAGTGATTTAGTCCAGTCGTTGTGATTATTTTAATCTAGTTTTTATGTTAAGTGTTGTTGTCGTCATAACTAAAACATATGTTCTCGGTTTTGTTTTACTTTTATTTAAAAAATACAGTGGAGTATCAGAATACTAACTCATTAATGTTCTCATTTGACTTATTACAAAGATCTTCATTGAATCTGTGAGTTTGTAGTAAATTTGTTCACTATATCTCTGTTTGCTTATTTAAATGTTCAAATGGATTCTCACGAGTCAGGTTTCTATTTCAGATCATTAATTTCTTTCCTCCCAATCCCTCGACTTATTAAGTACATTTTAATGTTGGTTGTGTTGTGCTCTCTAAGCTGGATGATTTCATTCTGTAGCTTTCACTGTCATTTTAGTCGACATCATCAGTCCTGTGCTTTAAATAATAGTGATCATTTTCAAATTAATTTACAAGTACCGAATTAATGTGTACTACCCTATCTACATGGCTTTGTTTAACAGTCGGTGTTTTCATCAACTGATGCCATGTCTTGATTCGCTTCTTTTTTAGCTTTCTTCCAGTTTAATCCTACATCAACCATCATCGTACATAGTTGGTGGATGTGCATGTGTAAAATGTGTCCCAACCACCTTAGTCGATAAAGCTTCTCCACTTCGTTAATCGATTTGCCATATTTACCTTGTATTCTGCGTCTAACCTCAAAATCTCTAAATTGAAGGTTCTAAAATACATGAACAATGGTTCAAAGATACTTATCATCAAATACTAGTTACCAACGAATATCCTCTATTTTTAAAGGTCATGTTTCACATCCATATGGTAGAACGAAGTGAACTAGTGTTCATTTTACTAGTCCTTTTGTTAGCAGACGGATATCTCACCTACGCTACACAGGATTGAAGTCAAGGGGTTTAACCTACTAGAAAATGTCACAAAACGTCTAAAAATAACTAATATTCATAGAATTCTATTTCAGATAGGTATAAGAAGTAGTGTTTAAATACATTGATTAGATCATTCTCTTAAATAGTCTCAATAAACTCTTTAAGGTAGTTTGAGGCGAAATGACAACACTTGTCTGTAGAAAGCTTTATTAACTCCTATCATACTACACCGTTTTCGATTTCGTCTAAACGGGGGTTGAGAATACTACTCAACAGTGGACTTTATATGAATTTATTTATTTATTTAAACATATAAACATTGGTACAAAGGAGCATCGAATATATATGCTCCGCATAAGTCACTTGATTTGTATGTGGGCTGTGATACTTTCGGATGTCCAAACTGAAGCAGGTGGTTTCCTTAGGGGGTCACACTCCGAGCCTTTAACTTAGAGGTTTAATCCTTAAGGCAGTGGAGCAACGTTAGCAGATGCAATCCCATTGTAGCCGGTGACCTACGATAGGTTCATACGCCAATTGCTTCTTTAGGATTCTGGAACCCACGTGCACTATTTGTTTTGAAATCAAGGTTTTCCAACTCCCCTAAATGGAACCTCCATATCCACCAACCCCGTTAGGACACCGAACATTTGCTTTTCGTCCTCTCAATTTCGTAAACAACACCCCCGCCGCGATTTGAAAGTTCAATACTAATTATAGGGTTACTGTTTTTTATACACGTAATATTTTACCATTATCTTTTTCTCTCTCGTTAAATAGATCGTTTAATTTAGCGACTACTTGGCCGTTAGTACCTAGCCATGCAATTACTGAGAAACCATCATGGAAGTAAGTTGTATTTTGTATATGTATAAACGATCGGTCTAATTAGTAACTAACTATCATTGTCGAGTTTTTCTGAAAAATAAACATTGAAATAAAAATCAAATATTTTTTTAAATTACTTGGTTTTAATGAATGTTATTTCTATGTCTGTTTTCTCAAGTCATTGTCCTACCTAATTCGTCTTTCATTTGTTTTTGTTATTACTTTGTAGATCGTTAAAGCCGGAAGGTGCACCAATTTGTCAATTACAATTATGTGCAAATAATCCATTCGCCGATAAAATGAGTATGCTTTCATTTTGTATTTGTGTAAAATAAAATTTCTTACTTAATTGAGTTATTAACTTACTAGATGACATAGGTAAAATCTGATTTAATATTTTGAAGCAATTGAATGGTAACTATTGAGTAAGAAACCCGAATCCTAACTTCTACTACCATTGACGTGTTCTAATTAGATAGTCGATTTGTATCAACAGCGATGGGTTCGAAGATAAATTTTACGGACGAGTTCATTCTTAAAATGGCCTCTTACGCTGTGTATTACTGTTATGCTGGAAAAACAGTAAAATACATCGATACTACATTTGATATAATCTTACCCCGGATACTGAATATTGGATAATTAGTTTAGTAGTGCTAAATACTCGTTCATTAGATCAGGTGCTAGATCAATAGACTCAACAAATTACTGTACTTGATCATGTGATATACTCGCTCCATTTATTCAACCAAGAATGAAAAATCAGACACAGACTAGAATAAGAGTTCATTAATACAACACAGCCTTCATATACCATGATATGGTCGAGGATGGGAAGAGTCTGTTCTCCATCTCGAAATGTGTTTATTTACATTCAGTTGTCCTCACATGTGTTCTCGTTCACTACAATACCAATGTCCGAGTGAACTTGATAGTAGACTTTTTGATTGGTGTGGCGTATCGCTCTTTATCCCACTCTCTCCGTGTTATCCTTTCACAACTTAACCTTCGAAGCCTTTTTAGTTTTACCAGAAGCTACTAGGTGCTATTGTTCAGTAGATGAATTCAGTAGCTTTGTGTTTACATTAGTCATTTTTCAACAAGTAGATTGTGGGTCTGAACCTCACCTCATTGATATCAAAGAAGCCTGATCGTAGCGCGTACTCTCAGGACTCATATAAAACAGTGTGACACAGAATCGAATATCAGGAATGGTGGTGATAAACTAAAAGAAATACGTTTAAAGGGTATAAATGAAAATAATGTAAACTATAAGATAATATTAATACTTAAAATCTAATGGGAGGTAAGAAAAAGAATGCATCAATAGCAATGTAAATTGATTACGAACCGTGTTGACCAAATTCTTCACTAATGTATTATAATTCACTCACAACTACCCAACCACGAATGTTTATACTTCCGGACTCTGTTCTCACTTATAGTCAATAATTTTATCTGATTGATGCTAATTCCTTGATCTGACTACTACTAGCCTTAAACTCAAATATAAACTTCTATTTTACTACGTAGTATGACAATATTTAGTCATGTTTTGTGTAAGCTGATTTATATATATATATATATATATATATATATATATATATATATATATATATATATATATATATATATATATTTGTTGTTACACTATTGTTTCAGGTATACGAATTCAGCGGTTGTTTAAATGTTGTTCTAAATATGAACAACCTATTCAAACGACTGACATCTCATCAGATAATCCTAGTAAGCATAATGTTTATATTACAATAATTTTTCTTGTTTTCTAATATTATATTCATTTCATCGATTTGTGCTGATAATATATGGCAGCTCGGACCGATGTGCCTGATCCTACGTTGTAGCTGACTGACTGACAAATTTCGACAGACTTAAATTATTCATCTTCAAGCGTCAAATCAATTAAAGATTATACTTCCATTTAAGCGCTTTAGAAAAATATCCTATTGGCCAAATCCACTGTATTAATTATTCCCCGTAGAAAATCGAAGGATCTTTTACATAATACTAACTTACCTCTGAAGAATTCATAATCTGTTGACGTTTCCATACTAATAATTCATGTATTGATAAATCACCAAAAGATGATGTTAGTTCATTATGAAGAACTTTATTACAAACACCCTCAGCGTCAGCATCAGGAAAAAGAAACTTTTTTTCAAGCAAAACACGATAAGAGAAAAAAATTGTAAAATCTATGATATTATTGAATGAAAAAAATATCATGTGAAATATAATACGAAAATAACTTTATACCTAAAATATGATAGATAAATGCAGAGGACACACTATTAAAGGAAGGCCCCCAAATACCCTGGTACGGTTGAGAGTGGGGAGAGTCAACTCTCCCTCTTGAAATGCTCTCACATGGCCACACGTATATAGCCTCTGCCAGGGTATTCCTACTCAGTTCCTTCTCGCAGCATTACTGTTGCTTATGAAATCGAGAGGACGAAAAGCGAATGTCCGACGCTTTAACCGAGTTGGTGGACATAGAGAGTCCATCTAGGAAAGTTGGAAAACCCTCATTCCAAACCAATGCTCCACATGGGCTCCAGTATTCTGAAGGAACGAATGACGTATGAATCAATTATTAGTCACTGGCTACCTAGAGACTGCTTCTTCTAACGTTGTTCCATTGTCTTGTGGATCAGACCTTTAGGTCAAAGGTTCGGGGTGTGACCCTCTAAGGAAACCACCTGCTTCAGTTTGGGCACCCGGGCAGTATCACAGCCCTCGTACAAATCAAATGAGATTTGTGTGTTGTATATGTATTTGGTGCCTTCTTCTACCAATATCTATGTGTTCAAATAATAATAATATTGATAATAATAACAGAGAACTACTTATACAAACTTTTAAAATGGTTTACTTATAACCTCAATAAAAGTGTATGACGCTTGAATTGATCTTGGAATACATACACTTTGATTGGACGGTTTAGCTGCATAACTTTCATTGTCAGATATTTACTTGAACTGCTAAAGAATTTCCTAAAAAATATTCTGACATTCAGAATGATCTTTAATTAGTAAGTTGTATTGAATTGTGTAATAAGAAGATGAAGATTATCAGAACTATATGATGAATAGTTTAGCGTAATACATTTCGAATAATCTTACCACATATTATATATTTGTTTAGAACATTTATATATAAAAATGAAAGGTCAACTAGATTAGAAATGGAGGGTAAGTGGGAAACAAAGATAGTAATAAATTGTATTGGCCTCATACCCACGCACGATTATCATTGTACAAAAGGCAAGCACTCAAATATATTTTGATATCTAGACGATGGTTTAAATGATTCGTTATGAACAATGTAAGTATTTATCAGTTAAAAGAACTCTGTTCGATAGATGCTTGATACATTGTCAAGCAATGCGACCAGCTGATAACTACTGTTCACTAGATCCAGTTATTCTTATCAAATAGACTGATTATCAGACGACAAAACAACCAGCTAGTCGAATGAGTGTTGGATAAGTTTCGCGAGCTAATTATGTAGAAAAATAAGCGCGAAATTGAACATAGATTATGTGTTATTGTCGGCCACTCAGTTACAAATAACCTGACAATCAGGCTTAATTCTTGCCCAGCAAACCAGTCGCATCCTATTCGCGAAGAATATAGTTTAGAATCCTTTGATAGGAGGAGAATAATAATAATCCATCTGGTTGCTCGTCTTAATTTTTCTTAAAAAAATGTTTACATTTTATACATATGTGCCTGGTCCTACGTTGTAGCTGACTGACTGACGTTTTATATACAGTGTACGACTGAACTATATTGATATGGCTATTTCATTGCTCGATTGTCATATCGATGAATTGTCATCTATCATCACAATTGTTATATATTTAGTCGACTATACAATCAAGGATGCGATAAAGTCAAACTGCTGACTGTATTCGTACTTACCCCCCCCCCCCCACAAATCACTTTTTAACTTCAAAACTGCTGAAAATCCAGGAGAAAGTAAGAATTTTTTTTCATTGTGATTCCAATTGTAACCGCGATACATTGAATTAAGTCAAATTTTGTTTTTCTATATCATAATCTTTTCTTGTACACAATTGATCTAAAAGTTAATGTATCAAACTGAACTTGAAGAGTTCCGTTTAGTTTCCCACAAGATGTTCATAAAATCTATATCGAAGCTAATTATAAACACATGTTCGTTGAATACATGTGTTTTTCTTTTAATGAATTTCTACCATTTTTGTTATGAAGTTTTAATGTTTCAAAATCGATAATCTCTTATGTTTTATGTTCTTAATTATTATTATTCTATTCAATATTTTTGTTTAGGTTCCGTTTTGTCAAGTGATTCAGTCATTCAGTTTCTACTAGTAAGTAGTAATGGTAGAATATCTGTGTATTTTTTGTTGTTGTTTTGTTATTAAAAACATTTGTTTTAATTAATTCTTTAAACTTAACAATTTGGAGAGGTTTTTATCTCATTTGAACACTTAGATATTAGTACAAAGGGGTACCAAATACATATGCGCTACAAAATAACAATGAGAATATAAAGAGATAGAGAATGTTAAGTGTGTATAAAGATGAAGCGCTTAGTTACAGTATGCTTAACTATTAAAATAAATTTGTTGTTCTTAGGTAATATCATCGATTCTAAGTTTGTTTTGGTATGATTATACACTCATTAACTACTGTTCTTTATATGTGTCCATCTACTCAAAATCTATACTTGTTGGTAAATTATTTATTCATTTATTATATTTATTTAAACACATAAACATTGGAACACGGAGGCACCAAATAGATATGCGCCACATAAATCATTCGCTTTGTGTGAGGACTAGGATGCTGCCCGGGTGCCCGAACTGAAGCAGGTGGTTTTTCATGAGGCCACACCCCGAACCTTTGACTTAAAGGTCTGATCCACAAGGCAATGGAACAACGTTAGAAGAAGCAGTCTCTAGGTAGCCAGTGACTAATAATTGATTCATACGTCATTCGTTCCTTCAGGATACTGGAGCCCATGTAGAGCATTGGTTTGGAATGTCAGTCAGTCAGTCAGTAACAACGCAGAACTTCGTACATACGTACATCAGTTCGAGTTGCCACACCACATTAGCACAGAGATGCAGTGGTCGTTTCAAACACTGCCATAGAACCTTACGATCAACAGAGTCGAATGCCGCCTTAAGGTCCAGAGATATTACCATTATGGGGCGTCTGAACGTGTGTCTGTGTTCTAGAACCTGACGTAGTGTGAATATCTTATCTGTACAACCACGTCCAGGTCAAAAACCAGCCTGATTTTCTCTAGTCTGCTCTTCACGAGCTTTAGTTAGGCGTCGAAGTATTATTGAAGCTAATATTTTAGACACTATATTAGTCAAACTGATTCCTCTGTGATTGTCACAAGAGGACTTTTGTCCTTTCTTAAAAACTGGCACAATCAGTGATTGAGACCAGTCAGATGGAATTACGTCTAGTTCCCAAATTCTACCTAAGACCTCAGTTAATCTCACTGCTAATACTGAACCACCATCTTTAAAAATTTCAGGAGTAAATCTGTCGACCTTTTCTAACCCCACCCCTCCTTGTGGGAAGTCAGCATCACTGTAGATGCTGGTTGTCCGAGGGAAACACCTTATTGCTGTCACACCCCTCTACAGTCAGCAGTACGACTTCGCCCTCAGACGTTGAGTTGCTGCTTTTAGTCTTACCGTTCTCCAATCCACCTGTCTGGCATGGTAGAACCTACAGGAACATATGTTCCAGCCAATGTAGCTCTGTTGGGTCATCACGATAGGCAAGCCCGACCACCGCGTCAAGGTAACAGCTTCGGTCGGGCAGTTTGGAATGAGGGTTTTCCAACTCCCGTAGGTGGACTCTCTATTTCCACCAACCCGGTTAAAGCGTCGGACATTCGCTTTTCATCCTCTCGATTTCATAAGCAACAGTAATGCTGCGAGAAGGAACTGAGTAGAACTACCCTGGAAGAGGCTATATACGTGTGGTCATGTGAGAGCGTTTGGAGAGGGAGAGTTGACTCTCCCCACTCTCAACCGTACCAGGGTATTTGGGGGCCTTCCTTTAATAGTGTGTCCTCTGCATTTATCTATCATATTTTAGGTATAAAGTTATTTTCGTATTATATTTCACCTGGTATTTTTTTCATTCAATAATATCATGGATTTTACAATTTTTTTTCTCTTATCGTGTTTTGCTTGAAAAAAAAGTTTCTTTTTCCTGATGCTGACGCTGAGGGTGTTTGTAATAAAGTTCTTCATAATGAACTAACATCATCTTTTGGTGATTTATCAATACATGAATTATTAGTATGGAAACGTCAACAGATTATGAATTCTTCAGAGGTAAGTTAGTATTATGTAAAAGATCTTTCGATTTTCTAAGGGGAATAATTAATACAGTGGATTTGGCCAATAGGATTTTTTTCTAAAGCGCTTAAATGGAAGTATAATCTTTAATTGATTTGACTCTTGAAGATGAATAATTTAAGTCTGTCGAAATTTGTCAGTCAGTCAGTCAGCTACAACGTAGGATCAGGCACATATATACATCGGTCCAAGCTGCCACATATTATCAGCACAAAGCGATGAATACTGGATTCATAGAAGTAGTTAATTCAATGATGATAATATATTAAAAAAAGATTGCATATAAGGACATAGTACAGTATAAAGAATTGGTTCGTAGAAAGGAAGATATGAAGCCAGTTTAATCTCATAGTTTAAGGGAAGACAAAGAGTGTATACACCTACTCCATTGTGATCGATTCTGAGCCATGTCACCCAGAGTCTCCAACCATTGGTTACAATAGTCACGTGGACTCCAACCAAGTAGTCTGCATCTACCAACATGACTAAGACTAGAAGTTAGTGACTTTATGGACTGATGCCACGTTTTGGTTTGGCCACTCCTAACTTTCTTCCAATCATCTCCAACACCGGTTAGCATTGCACGTCGTGGTAGTTGGTGTTCAGGCATACGCAACACGTGGCCCAACCATCTCAGTCGATGAAGATTCGCAACCTCATCAGCTGATTTACCATCATTCCCTAATACCCTACGTTTATTTCTTTTGAACAACTTTGAGACAAAACTGAACTAAGTATTTATTACATTACTCACCCACTTGAAGACAGGAGATTGTTTATAAAGTAGGATTTTCTTAATTGATCCTTTATCTTTTGATAAATGTTTAAATTAATCAACTTTACTAGAAATAATCTTCCTTCTACTTTTGAAAGGCGAATATCGCTACAAGTATATATATTCTTTAATGCACATACAAGAAAGTTAACTTTGTTGTCAGATATCTTAGAGAATTTATTCAAATCATACTTTCTTGTATTTCATGTAGTGGGATAAGATACACAGAATAAAAGTCATTTGGTAAATATTTCTGTAGATAGATGGTGTTTAAGTGATGAACTCGGATACGGAGCATCCACCTTGGGGAGTTAGAAAACCCTGATTCCAAACCAATGCTCCACATGGGTTCCAGTATTCTGAAGGAACAAATGGCGTATGAACCAATCGTTGGTCACCGGCTACCATGGAACTGTTTCTCCTAACGTTGCCCCGCTACCTTGTGGATTAGACCTTCAGGTCGAAGGCTCCGGTTGTGGCCTTCTTAGGAAACCACCTGGTTCAGTTTGGGCACCTGGGCAGTATCACAGCCCTCATACAAACCGAATGATTTATGTGGCGCATATCTATTTGTACCAATATTTATATGTTTAAATAAATAATGAACTGAAGAATGTGTAACTCAGATAACAGAGTACTTGAACGTATGTTCATTAAGGATTCTTTTCAAAACAATAAATAATAAGGTGAATCAACAGATACATTTGATTATAATTATACGCTAAAATTTTAATATTTACCTTATTTCATTCTTTTGAATTTAAGAGACAGAAATTCGCTTCTATTTTTGGCTTACCAAATCCTACTTCATTAATTCATCGTTTAGCTGTGATCATTGCTAATCTTCTTGTTTATAAACATTATGAATTCAATGATTGTTTATTATTGATCAATTCAATATTTAATGAATTTTACATTGAATTACAACTTCGTTATGATCGTTTAATATGTTTACCATCAGAAATATTATACGAAGAAGTATTCAACAATAATAAGATAATAATAGAAGAAATATCCATTAATGAAAATAAACCATCATTAAATGCATGGAATCATAATTTAATTCAGTCAATTAATGAATTAAAATTTAAAGATTGGCCTATTGATTGTTACTACAATTTGGATTGTATTTTGCATCGATTTAATGGGTGCATTTTGAAGGGTATAATTATTTTGGGTATTTTTTTTGTTTAGTTAATTGTTTTGTTCTTTTTCGCTTCATATAAAGGTCAGTTTGCTTACTATGTACAAAAGAAGTAGTATAATGAACAATATGACTCTTTATATACTATTGTTCTCTAGTACGTAGGTCAGTCAATCAATTTATTGATCACTATTTATCTAGTATCCTGTAGTGTTGACCAAATTCCATAGATCAAGTTACGACATGGCCTCTAGTATAAGTCACTTTACGTAGCGTGCGTTATGTCTTGATGTTAGGTCGTTGTCAAAAGTCAGCCAGAAAATTCTAAACCTGGTCATACATTCAGCGACAGTATGATATCTGACAAAAATATGTATCAGTCAAAGCGATTACACTTATAAGCAGCGAAAAAAATTGAATGTAGTAAACGAGATAGATTGATGAAATTGCTAAAGAAAAGGGATGGATTAAAACTCGGTTTAAAAAGATAAGCTCTACTACATCATTGGGAACTATTTGGAGCTGTTAAATGACGCTTCCAACCATACATTACTATAATCCCAGGGATTCAAAACTGGAAAGGTTTTGCTGCTGATGTGACTCAGGTTGACGGTTAGTAAATTCATTTGCCGATACAATGTCCTAGTTTGAAAACCGATAATTTTTTTCAATTTTCTCATTCTACCTCGCATTGCTAAAGTATTCCATGTCAAGGCATGTAAAAGATACATCCGAACGAACTGAGATTAACAACCTCATCAGTCAATTTATAATTTTATGCGTACAATCGGTTGTGTTAAAATTATTATTGATTAATTATGTTTGATGTATTGAAGAAAAAAACAATCTTTTATTTTTATTTTTAAATCACAGCTAGAGAAGGTCATCAACATCAAACATTAAAAGTCCAAAGTGATGATGATGACGATGGTGATGCATATTTTGATGTTTATGATGAAACTTCTCCATCATCTCATGATGAAGTTAAGTTGGTTCATCCGAAAACTAATTGGTTAGATGCTTGCTGTAAGTTATGTGATAAAAATTAAATGAATAATTGTGGCTGATGCTCTCAATTTGATTTGTAAATTTGAATAACAATACAATCTGTTTTTGAATAAGGGCGCTTATAATTAGATGACTTCAGTAGAAATCATTGGTTTAGGTCATTAGTGATAAATCTATTTGAACGCTTGAATCGGTTTCCTAAGCTCTTCTAGTAGTAACAATCAGGCCAATTTTACACGGCAACTTGAACACTAGAGAAAAGACGCGAAAGAACGCTTTAATGCAATGTTAGTTTATGTACAGAAATCTAGGGTATTTATAGCGCTTCAGAAGGCCTTGGACTTCTGGATAGTTTTGCAGCTATTCTAAACATAGAAGCAGGGTGGGTAATCTTCCAACCAGGGATGTGGCACATGACTTTTCAGTTTCTAAATGTTTCTTAGAAACTTTTATTGATTGCTGATTGGATGTCTCTCAGGGTTTTTAGGGCCATTTTTAAGCTTTTTTCAAGGGATTTTCTGTGTCTCCTCATTACTTAGTCTATGAAGTAAACACTTTTGTTTCAAATGTTTGTGATCTTTCTACTACTTAGTCGGAACGATCTATCCTGTTGTTAAACCAACCAGCACAAACTATTTGGTTACTTCACTGTTATTTTATGCTACTCAGAAACACGTGTGAAGTGCAGTATTTCCCCTTCAGATTATTTCTTCGAAGTTATATAGAAGCCTTTTTTGATGGGGTAGATAGATATACTTCTATCTGAAGTTTGTGCTGATGATGTCGTTCAGAAGAACGATCAAAGCTCCACGACCAAAACATCCAGCTCAGAGAGCAAAACTTCATCAAAATCATCCACCTGAGCTACAAATCATCTCCACCATCTCAGGAGCCTTTTTCTTCTGATATTCCGTACCTGAGTATAATATATAGTTCTTATGAATAGTAATCATATTTCGCTTGGTATCCTATCGTTTGACATGATTAAATCACAGGACACATTACAGTATTATTATAATTCACCTTGTTAAAAATTTGGGTTAAAAGAGGCGTGGTTGATGAACTTGGGTTTCAATCAATAATTTATAAATTCCACATTTCTCTCTATCTACTTCGGTTTTTGGTTAGCCGAGTAACCTGTACACAACGTAGTTCGAATCTGGTTAATGGAATCTGGACTTGATTACCGAAGTACATTATATATGTTTCTTGTACCAGTAAACAACTTAGTCGATTTATGAATTACGGAACGTTTGTAACTTTCAATTAAATTAGACAATTTCATCCTTAACAACTTCATGATCCTATACATGTTACTTCCAGTGTATACAACTATAGTGTTTTGTTTATCTGTCTATCAAGCACCAACTACTGTTACAACAATCATTACTAATCTCTTTTTTATTTCTCTATCATTTTATAAATACATATTTACTAGCTAGAAATGATGCATTATCGGAAGCAGAAAGTATACTTGATTGGCTTAAATCAAGGTCTTTAATGGATCATTTACATTCACTTCTACCGCATATCATTCTAGAATGTATGCTTACATTCCATTCTTTAAGTAAGTTGATTAGATAATATGGAGATAATGATTTTACAATTATTTATTCACTTTATAACATTCTATTATTACTTATGGGAAAAATTCGGTATTATATATAATATGTGACATTTCTTTGTTGGAAACCACAATTTCATTGTCTTCACTTAATAGTTCCCAAATTCGTTCTCATGATTAATTAAACAGACTAATATTTCATTGGGTTTCCTGGTTTAGAAGCTGTTCTCAACCTGATTTTTTCTTCAGTGTTACTACTCCTGTTAACTTCAGACAGACAACCTAATCGACCATATGAAACAACGATCCTATTGTTAGCTATTGATAGTCTGAATGCTTGAACACAGATGCGAAACTTCAGTAGAATAGTAATTATATTATCAAGTTACAGTTTGTCTCCCATAACATAATAGTGATCATAAGTAACTTTTGGTTAATACCAGTTGCGAGTAGCTTAACCGTTATCATGCATTTTTAGTGATGTGTATTATTTTCCAGATAATCTGTAAATAAAAACAATGATTTTATAATCAGCTATCTGTAATGTGTCTGTTCCTGTCGTTTACATGTTAATAGTATTTGCCTACATTTATTTATTATTTGTGTAACATCTTATCATTCTGAATAATAATATGTTTGTTGTATCTGGTATATTTCATTTGCATTACAATTCTGATTCCATAAGTATTCAATTCCCAGAGAATATACACCTTAGTTACTTAAGGTTGTTATTAAATGTGGTCGAAGAATCGAATTTTCGGTGTTGATTTTTTCATCCTTTATAAAAACACTAAAAGTGGTCACCAATACTTGCGTCTTATTGTACTTCTTTTTTGTGATATAATTGATCAATATGTGCTGGCAATGAGCTTTTCTATAATCGTCTGAATGTTACTGTTGGGCTCATCCCAGTAGCTACTTGTAAACAAACTCAACGAATCATTATTGTGACGGGCGGTGCCTGAAAGCTAAACCCCCCTTATAAAAATTGATCCATTTTTTAGCCGATGAAATGCACTTGTCCTTTATGTCACTTCTGATTGCCATCAATTGACCTTCTTATTAAGCTGCTTCTAATTGTCACTTCATATCAATTATCATTTAAGTTTAAGTCCTTTTGGAGGAAAAACCAGAACACAGTGGGATTTAGAATTAAGTTTATGAAATTACTTGTAGGATTTTAACTTGTTTATTGAGTCAAACTTAGTAACTAAACTTCTCTGCAAGTACGTTACTATAGTGATAAATACTGGAAATTGTAAGATGTCTGGAGGTCAATTACACCATAAAACATTAGTCAAATAAACAGTTTATCATTGAATTAATTGATTGAGTATTAAAATTACAACAATTACTATTAATCAGTCACATTACACGAGGTTGTATTAAGTGGAATAATTACCGATTAATAGAAGTCAATTTTTTATTTTATTTTATTTGAACACATAAATATTGGTACAAGAGAGCGCCAATATATATGCGCCACACAAAACAATGAGAATTCGAAGAGAAAAAAAGGTAAGGAGCGTAAAAAAACAATAACGAAGAGATTGGTGTAAGGTAATGTAGTAATAATAATAGTAATAATGAGGAAACGGAAAGGTACAATCAGAAGAAATCTTTCAAGTAAGGGAGACACAACCACTTTTTATGAAGAAAGTAAAAGAAGGTTACAGCAGGATCGCCACTGGCTTCTATTCTGAGCCATATCCGATAACGTCTCTAGCCACTGTGTAGCACCATCTCTCGGACCCCAGCCAGGGAGTCGTGAAGGACCAACAGAAGCCAGTCCTTCATCCCACGACACCATGTCATATACTGACCACCTCTCCGGTTCTTTCAATTGGTCCCAGAGTCGGCAAATAATGCACGACGAGGTATTCTCTGGGACGATATTCGTAGAACATGTCCAAGCCATCAAAGTCGGTGTTTCAAAATGGTGACACCAATTGCATTATCATCTCTGTGCCCGGACACACGATGCCGAACCTCTGCATTACTAACATGGTGTTGCCACCGGATGTCAGCAATCCTTCGGAGACAACGATTATCGAACACAGAGTCATCTAACGTCCTCAACTCGGAGATGCCAGGTTTCACAAGCATAGAGCAAAACTGCTCTCACCGATGCGTTGTAGATCCGACCTTTTACAGCCAGACTAACATCACGAAGGCGCCAAAGGTGGCCCAGATTGGCATAAGCCTTTCTGGCTTTAACTATACGTGCATTGATCTCATCACTCACACCCCCACCAACACTTACGCAGCTACCTAGATACACGGACTTCTCGACTACTTCTATCTGCTCACCATCCAGGATGAGTACACGATTAGAATCCTGCCAGTTTTGTAGAAGTACTTTTCACTTCGAAGATGCAAATCACATACTATATGTACGGTCGAGAAGTTTTTCTCTGGGCAACAGATCCACACCGCCATTACTTACATCCATCAGAGCTGTTTCCAGAATGTTGTCGATGTCAAAGTTGAAGAGCAATGGTGAGATTGGGCAACCCTACCTAACCCCACTGCTCGAATGGAACAATGGAGAAAGGTGGCTGTATGCCCTCACTCTGCCTGAGGTGTTTTTATATAGGGCTTTTAGGATGTTAATAAACTTCTCAGGCACACCCTTCAATAGAAAATCCCAGAGAACAGTCCTATCCAACGAATCGAAGGCAACCCTGATGTCAAGAAACACTACGATTGTTGGCCTTTGAAAAGCATGGCGGTGTTCTAACATTTGGCGGAGGATGAAGATATGATCAATAGATCCTGGACCAGAACTAAACCCAGCCTGCTTCTCGCGAGTCAATCTTTCTCGGGTTTTGAACAACCTACGAAGTATGACGGAAGCCAATAGCTTGGACGCAATCGGAAGTAGACTCATCCCCCGATAATTGTTACAGTGTTGTGAACAAGAATACGGGTGGGGACAATCGAATGTATTTAACACAACAATTACAGACTATCTCAACAAAATCTGAATACTATATAGTAAATCGTCAATTTGCAAAATATTCATGCATCAAATCAAACTGGAGTGTTTTGCAAACGCCAATCTTTTGTCTCCCATTCCATTGTTCAGGCGTTTTCTTACAAATTCCATTGTGTTCTCGCTCTACCTTTGTTGATCTTCGACATTTTCTGCTGCCAAACATATCGTTCTTTTAACGCACGTTATATACTACTTATATCAATATAAGTAGCTCACACCAAAACAGGAACGACGTGAACACTTTTTAAAGATAGGGACAACTATCGACTCATTCCACGACGTTGGTACACTCTCTAGTTCCCAAACCTTTGTAAACAACGTCGTCAGTTCCTTAGTCAAAAAGTCACCACCATCTTTAAAAAGAGCCGGAAGTAAGTCATCTGGGCCAGGTGATTTGTAACGCTTCAAGAGTTGGAGTTCCTTGCGGACTTCCTCCTCGTCTGGTGGATCAGTCGTCACCGGCCATGAAGAGCAGGACAGTCTGACCGATGTTGCTGGAGCAGCAGGCCAGTTGAACTGCCCTTCGAAGAATTCTGCCCATCGTCCAAGACGTCGATGGATGTTAGTGATTGGCATCCCATCATCCTCGCAGATTGTTTCACTCACACCAGACTTCTTGCTGCCAGTGGCTCGGATGAGTTGGAAGAGCTTCCGGTAATTACCAGATGCAGCTGCTGCTTCCAACTCATTAGCACGCTCCGACCACCAGGCTTCTTGGTCCTTACGCAAGCTTTGCCCAATTTCCTTACGTAACATCCTTCGTTTGTGGTCAAACTCACGGTCACCCGGAGTAGACCGACGGACTTCAATGATTTGTAAGGAACCTGAAGAAACCCAGTGCTTATAAGCGGGACGTTTCGCAAACCCACAACTGACTGTACCCGCCATTTTCATGGCGTCATGCAATTGTAACCAATGCTCATCTTTACTTTTCGGTGGAATGGTAGCTAGTCTAGAAACTAGCTCAGTTCGATACTTACTAGCAACAGAATTTGCAACCAGCTTGCTAACATCAATCCGTTGGTGGCGATCACTTCGTTGTCCACTGAAAAGTAAGGTAAGATTGGCGCAGACCAAGGCATGGTCAGAGTCCAGATAGGTACTCCAAAAGGAGCGGCAGTCTTGTACACAACCACGCCAACGGTAGCTGATCGCGATGTGATCAATCTGAGTCCAGGCTTGAGATGCAGACGGAGGACGCCAGGTGGCAAATCGGCGATGACTGTGCCGAACGTTAGTGCTAGCCAGAAACAGGTCGTGGTCTGTGCACAGTTGCAGTAGACGGTCCCCGTTATCTGTCCTCCGACCAACAAGTCCCCATCGGCCACCTAAACGACTCTCTTCTGTGCCTAGACGCCCGACCTGAGCATTCAAGTCTCTGGCTAGTACTACAATATTTGTCGAACGCACTTTCTGGAGAACAACAGATAACTGGTGGTAAAACTCATCCTTGATTGCAACCGGGCTGCAATCTGTCGGGGCATAGGTGGAGATGACGAAAAGACGTTTCTCACGCCGATTTCTTCTCACTTTGATGGAACTTTCTAATCTAACAGCACATAACCGACTGTTAATGGGGATCCAGTCGATTAGTGCTGCCTCAGCTCTAGCGCTTAGTGCGACACCAACGCCAGCAAGACCAAACGAAGGTGCCACAGAGTTCCCGAATAAGCGCACGTAAAACAAGATTTTCGAAGCAACAGATGGAGATCGAATTTGTAGTACTTCACCAGAGTCTTGAATACGGGTCTCGGATGGACAACAGACATCGATATTAAAACTTTCCAAAGACATAGCCAGCCCTATCTGTTGTGCGACCTGCACTAGTGTGCGAACGTTGAATGCAGCCAGTTTGAATGGTGCACGTGGTTTCAGAAAAACTGCTTCAGTACTCATATTCAGTGGTAACATACAATTTTCAACTGGACAGTGACTCGAGAACTTTTAGATACAGTCGAATTTCCACCAAAGACGAGCCGCTGTATAAGTATAAAAGAGGGTGAATAATGTGGAAAATAATAATAATAATAATAATTTGAATCATTTGATTGTTATTCGAAGCGAGAAAGGTAGTTTCCATGGATATAGAGAGTTCATCATTTGCGTGTGGGCTGCGATAATGCCCGGGTGCCCAGACCGAAGCAGGTGGTTATCTTAGGGGGCCACACCCCGAGCCTTTGACCTAAAGGTCTAACCCACAAGGCAGTGGAGCATCGTAAGGAAATGCAGTCCCATGGTAGCCGGTGACCAACGATTGGTTCATACGCCATTTGTTCCCTCAGGATACTGGAGCCCATGTACACCATTGGTTTGGGGTCCGGTTAAAGCACCGGACATTCGCTTTTCTTCTTCTCTTTTTCGTAAACAACATCCCCACCACGAAAAGGCAATGAGTAAGACTTCCCTGGCAGAGGCTGTATATGCGTGGCCATGTGAGAGTATTTCGAGAGGGAGAGCGGACTTTCCCCACCCTCGGCCGTACCAGGGCATTTGGTGGCAAATTATGAAATAAATTTCAAGATTTAGTTTACCTAAGGCAGACTACATAATAATAGGAATAAAGTTTTCATTACAAGGTAAAACAGAGGACTGAAATATGGAGAGGAGAACACAAATGAATGGGATAAGTTATTCGTTGCGATAAAAACAACACCGTAGAACTCGGGTCACTTAACTAATTGTATGTAACTCAAACTACTAAGCAATAACAAGTAGTGTATCATAACTTACAAAAGTAGGATAAGGAAGGAAGAAAAAATATTCTGCTCTAACGTAGAACCAGGCACATATATGCATTAGTTCAAGTGGCCACACTCCATTAGCATATCACTGACTGCACCATCAGGCTCTACAGTTATAAATTCATGTTTAGTGTATAACGATAATCAACGAACACATTCATAAATGAAATTAGATCATATTATGAGTTAAGATAGTGAACTGTTGTATCTTTTACGACCCAAATACATCCACACTATGCCTTTCTCTTGATTTCAAAAGTCATTTAAATAGGTGGGAAAAGTTGTTGCAAGATTTCAATTTACCAACAATGCATGTTTAGGTGGAAATGTTATGTTGCGTAATTGACATATTAGTAATAAAGTCGTGCCAATATAGTATGTAATGGGAGACATGTTTTCAGAGAAATGATTGAAATATAAAGTGATATTCTCACAAACTTTCATGTTATAATACCTCTTTAAATAAAATATTTTTAATGGAGAATAATCATATGATTATAATTTAGACATGAATAATGTAATACACCAAATAAAATAATCCAGGCATATTCGACCCAACTATCCGATTTAAACCATTAAAGAGTATAAATGCCATGATACTGACGGAATGAGTTTCATGCAGATCGACTTTAGTCTTTGGATCATATCTTCTTACACTGCTTCACTACGTGGTAGATTAGGCCTTTAGGTCGATTGCTCAATGGTATTCGTTCACTTAGAAAGCCACTTGTCTCGCTTAATTTTCGAAGTAGTAAACCATGATCATGTATGACATAGCGAGTACTCTATTGCACAACTCGTGTGCAGTTTAAAGTGCGAACCACTGGACACCGACTTCTTTACTTAAAATCACTGTGTTACTGATGTAACCCGAATGGTATGAGGTTGACTTTGACTGGTTGTTTTTTGTGAACATTGTTGGGACATAAAGTCCTGGAAGAATCTGATATTTTGTGGTGTTTATGATTTATTAATTGTTTCTCTGTCATTCTATTGTAATATGTATTATTTCCTTTATCACATCTGATTTATTTAGTCCCTCATCCTCGACTATCTAAATGGTATTCGTCTATGCTCAAAAAGCTTGATCAGGAAATCTATGATCTATTAAAAATTCATTCCTCTAAACCGACAAATGTGGACATAGTATCAAAAGTCACAAAATCTGTAAGTTATTTGTTTATCTATTCTACGAATAACATTTTTCTCGTTATAAATAATTAAATTTTATGTATGTTCCCAGTTGTGGATTCAGCTGTTCTGATAGTCTTATTAAAGTACATTAATTTGAATACAGTATTTCGTATAGTAGATAGCCAACACACCTTATCCACCAGTTGGTTACTGACTAACCAAGACACCACAACAGACGTAATGTAACTTACATGAGAGCTCTTGTTTCTCAAAAGATAAGTATATAAATGATCGTTAAACTGTATATAATATTGTGACAAAGAAATTACTCAATAGAAATAAGTATGTATTATATAGTGTTGTCACTTTTTAAGGGTTACAATACTACTGTTGTTGTGGGAATTCTTCCAAAAGATCATAATAATATCGATTTTGATCAATCTCTCCATTGACTGTAAAATGTCGTCACATCTTACCATTTTCTTCATTAGACTTTAGCTTAGAATATAAACTTCTTTCAGTATTTAATATTTCTTAACAATTTATGAAAAGCCATTTAGTTTAACGTCTAAAAGACTATTACAAATATTGATTTAAGATAAATACAGTTGTGACAGCTTCATTGAATGACCAGTTTATCCAGTTATGTTACAAAATTAATATTGTCGTATACTGTGAGTAATTGATTGACGAGTAACGTCACTTAGAAGTTAAACACATTAGAATCATTCTGATATACAACACAGTGATCAGCGATCATATGACACTTGTTCGAAAACCTCTCGAAGAGATGAAAGGTTTTAGAAACTTGGGCAGGATCATCCATAAATAAAGAGGATCTAATGCAGATTTGAAAGCAAGAATCGGCAAAACAGTATCAGCATTCCTACAGTTGAACAACATATGGAACTCAGAATAACTGTCAACCAATATTAAAGTCAGAATCCGCAATACGAACGTCAAGACAGTTCTATTTTACGAAGCTGAAACTTGGAAAACAAGTACAACCATCACTAAAAGGTTGAAGGTATTTATAGACAATTATCTATGCAAGATACTTCAGATCCGTTGGGCAGACATCATCAGCAACAACCGACTGCAACTGAGAACAAACCAACCAACCAAGATGCTGGAGGTGGTTAGGAGATCTATTGCAGAAATCATCAAACTGTATCACAAGGCAAACCCTAACGTGAAATCCTGAAGGCGAAAGGAAAAGAGAAAGACCCAAGAACACATCGTGCCGGGAATTAGAAGCAGACATTAAAAGAATAAACAACCCTTGGCGATGACTAGGCAGTGCAACTTAAAAAAGATTTGTTTAGATATTCTTAGTCGATGATCTCTGCTCCACGAAGTGTAATAGGTATAACTTCACTTAACGATTTGACCACCAAGGAAGGAAACCAGAATCTTTAGATATCTACACAAACGCGTTATATTCAGATCAGTGCTTTGGTATCCAGTGATTCATATATAAAATTTCAGTCAATCCACATTCGTAAACTTATTGAGAATTGAACTCAAAACATTCATATCTCACAATGAACACACAATTACTAAAACCGTTACTTTGATGTTCAATAACGTCACAACTAAGATCAATCTATAACGAATTCTATTCATTTATTCGTATACGCCTGTTACTACACAAAATCATTATGTATTGTTATATCTTAAAAATTTTCTTGATATACCGCGTATAACTGAGCACTAGAAAACCAAAACCCTTCCAAGTTGCAATAAGAAGATAGAAGACTAATGATAGGAATATTATGCCCAGACAGCGTCAATTATTGTACAAAATTGTCAGGTATTTATAGTTTTTAGTAAGAACGAAATCATCATCACAGTCCTCCGATCCGCATACAGGGGGTTATTAACATTGTCCAATCGGGAAGCTACACGTAGAAATTCTAGAATATTCTCCTGAAAGTTGATTGGATGGAATTCCCTCAGCTCTTTCTGAGCTTCCTCGAGTTCACCCGTGGTCCGTCGTCACATATATTTGTATTCCTTTCTTCTTTTTTTTTAAATTTCTCTTGACAATATTTAACAAGCACATTTTGTGTATGTTTTTTTTCTATCTTATTAATTATTACATATTTTAGTTTCCATTGTCAACATTTTGTGATATCTTAGAAATTATTGCTGAATTTTCAATTCAATTCACATGTTTCAATGAATTAATTTATAATGTTATTCTTTGTGGTAAGTTTTAATTGAATCTTCCTATTGATATTTAGGACTGTAATTGATTAATATCTAATTGGGATATGTGCATAATGTGTGTGTATTGCCTTCATTCACAAGTATTATTATAAGCAAAGATGGATAGTGGTTAGCAGTGGTTGTTTGAAGTGAACGGTGCTGAGTTTGAATTCCAGGGTGAACATCAACTCTGAGATGCAGGTACATTCAGTTGACGAGTCCGAAATAGGGCGATACGCGCGTCCTGGATTTCACTGCTAGCCACCATCCATCTTTGCTTAGTATTATTACGGATTTAAAATAAATGAATTTTTTCATTTTTTTTCATAAAATTTTGTCAGTATTATGTAATGTATGAATAAGCTCTTGTCTTTTTTAAAAATTCCCAACCAAATGATGCTTATGTGAGACAGGGAAACAAATTCAAATAGATAAATGAGCGTATTATCAGAGAGGGGTTTTGTGCAGATTGTATAAATTTACTAATTGAATTCATGAGTCAATTGAAATTAAAGCACCATGTAAAACCTGGGGCACTGAATGGCCGTTTCATCCCAGTATGGGGCACCTCAGAAGTTCACACCCACGATCACGCCCCGCGAGATTCGAACCCAGGACCTATCAGTCTCACGAGCGGACACTTAACCTTTTGACCACTGAGCCGGCATCCAACGATGTTACTATCTAATTTCAATTAATCCACGAAAATGAGAGTATATATTGAGGTATAGAGATACAATAATGTTTATTCAAGAAATATTATAATCCGTAATAATGTAGATTGATTAGTTAATAGTTAATGTATTTGATTAGAAAGGTCGTGTTTTAATATTGACGGTCTAAACATAAAAGACATTTTGCTTAAAGTTCGATAGTACATACATGAGCTGAACTACATGAAACTCAATTGTCAAATGAATGAAGGTAATCCATAAGAGTTCCATTGCACTCAAGCTTCTTGTTAGTTGATGGTCGTAAACATAGTATTTTTCTCTGTGCAGGATTGAAACAAATGGAATCATTTTGATAATACATATATTAATTCTTCATATGTATTCACGCTCCCTATAGGGTACGTTAATTAGTTATTCGTAGACAGTCAGCTACAACTTAGGATCAGGCACATATATGCATCAGTTCAAGTTGCCACACTCCATTAGCATATCAAAATGATCACCGAATTCATTGAATCGGATACTTCAGTGGTAGTAATATATTAAAAAATTAAGATTACATTTAAGGATAGGGAGAAAGAATTAGTCCGCAGAAATAATGGTATAAAGTAATTTTAATTTCACAGTTTAAAGGAAGATAGGGAGTGTATACACCTACGTCATTGTGACCAATTCTGAACCATGTCACCCAGAGTCGCCAACTATTTGTTACGATAATGACGCGAACCCCAACCAAGTGGTCTGCATCTGCCAACATGCTTGAGAGTAGAAGTTAGTGTGATACCAAGTTTTGGTTTGGTCGCCTCTAACTTTCTCCCAACCATCTCCAACACTAGTCAGCATTGATCGCCGTAATAACTGGTGTTCAGACATACGTAAAATGTGACCCAAGTTATATATATATAACTATAAAAATATTGTCTGTTTTGTTCCCCTGATCTGAAAATGCGTAATTAAAATGTGTTACTACACTAACCTTATTGTATAGCTGTAACGTGAACTACCCTAAATATAATCAAAAATCTATATATTTATTTCTATTTATTGACCACTATGATGTTAGTGTTAGTTGGTTTAAGTGAAATTCCTATGATCACCATTAAGCGAATTACAGCGTAAGTATTTACTAAGAATATCTTTATTAAAGATTTAATAAAGTTAAAATTCCAAAGACAATTAAATATTATCGTAATTCTGATCATAAAGTGTTAATTAACTATTTGCATTGGTTTTATAACTGACCTTACGATCAATCCACAAGAAATGTATGACCTTTCTAGCATTATTGTACAATTCAAAACGCATAATATTAGTAATATCTTATAATGATACTGTGGTTTTGGGTTACTTGTATCCATATAAGTAGTATATAACGGTGGTCAGGCATAGAATATATTTCAGTAGAAAGTCGATGAGGAAAGAACGAAAACGGAACGCAATTGGTATGAAAACGCATAAACAATGGAATCTGACACAATGAACTGATATTTGCAAAGAAACAGTAGAGCTCGATACAATGGATTGATATTTTGCAGATTAACGATTTACTACATAGTCCAGAGATTTTATTGAGATGCTCTGTAATTTCATCTCAAATACATTTGATTATCCCCCCCTGGTGTTCTTGTTCACTACAATACCAGTTAGAGTAGAAGCATTAAAAAAAGAATGGTACAATAGATCCTGACAACTACTATCTCAGTGTCAGAATTCAGTGATTGCTCTGCATAAACTTAGTATGAAGTTTCTAACTTGTTAATGATTTACAAATCGATACTGTAGGCTGATGAAAGTTAGTCTTTTGATGTATCCAAGTAATTCTATGTAATAATTATTATATTAACTTAGTATACATTTCCTTTTGTACTTTTACACAGATTATAGTTATATGTTAGATTCGGATATATTTTTAAATTTCCTATGTAAATTATCCAATCATGTTAATCTATTGGAAAATATAACTGGTCAATTGAATTCATGGTCACCTAGTTTAGGTGGTTGGATTAATTTGCCTAATACGATGACTACTACCAGTACAACTGTTACTAATAAGAATGTAAAAGAAACTGAACGTGATATGATTTTAAAATTTTTGAAAATGTTGTTTGATAAAAATATCCCTGTAAGTTATGATTATCAATTATATTCAATCATTAATATAATTTTACATTAGACAATATGCACATTCGATTTACTACGGTGAATTAACCTTATATTGAACTCTTCTGTTGTATGCTATAGATGGAGACATAGCCTGTTTACAACATGGTTTCAGTTTTTAATGGCATTTGGTTTTAGTTGAAATCTAATACTCTCTCATAACGAACTCATAGAACTGAATCTTAAAAAGAGAACATAATTTTCAGGAGGGGGGAGAAAGAGAGATTAGGTACATTACATGTTGTCTGAAGGTCAAACAGTATGTAGGAGGTTATGGATAAAACAGGCTATTGAAGTGTGCAGATTACGCTCCCAGTCTTTATGTTGTTGTCTGGTTTAGATGGATGATCGTATATGTATATATGATTTTTGTACAATTGATTCGGTTTGCCAATTAGGACCTATTTAAAATCGTCTCGGAGAGGCCCAGTGCTGTGGGCACTTTTAAAATTGCTCTCAAATGCTCTGCTACGACCGAGAGTGGGGAGAGTCAACTATCTCTCTCTAAATGCTCTCACATGACCACGTGCATACAATCATTACTAGGGAAGTCCTACTCACTACCTTCTCGTAGCATTACTGTTGTTTGTGAAATTGAGAGGACGAAAAGCGATTGTCCGGCGCTTTAACTAGGTTAGTGGACGTAGAGAGTTCACCTAAGGGAGTTGGAGAGCCATGATTTTAACCCAATGGTTTACGTGGACTCCAATATTCTGAAGGAACCAATGGCGTATGAACCAATTATTGGTCACTGGCTACCATTAGACTGCATCTCCTGACGTTGCCCCACTCCTTTATGGATTAGACCTTTAGGTCAAAAGCTCAGGGTGCGGCTCCCTAACGAAACCACCTGCTTCAGTTTAGGCACCTGGGGAGTATCTCAGCCCTCACACAAATTGAATGACTTATGTGGCGCATATGTATTCGGTGCCTTCTTGTACGTATGTTTATGTACTTAAATAGAAATAATTAAAATCATCAGATAATTCTCATCTGTTTTTTTCACTTTCTCCTGTACTGAATTGTTTATAGAATGAATTAAATTCAACAGGTGAAAGAATATTTCATTTTACCAGTATTCCACAAACATGGTTACCACCAGATCGTCCAGTTGATCTAAGACGTCCAAATTATGAATTATATATATTCTATACTGAATTACCTTATCCAAATCAATTAACTAGTCGATTAGGTTCACATCGTTTATATATTGAATTACATTATGATAAACAAATATCAAATTATAACATTTTATTAATGGCTGGTAGTTTTAGTCATGATACACAATTTTTTTGAATAAATCACTAAGTAAGTATATCAATAAATGTTGTTATAATATTTGGTTTTACTTCGTTTAATGTTATAACGGTTGGGTTTCTACGTTTACACTTATGGGAAGTGAATTTAATTTTAACAAATATCTACACTAAATTCTCATTCCATCCAATGTCTATTCTACAGGACGTCAACACAACTCAGATGATTAAGAACATGTGATTAGCCTGACTACAACGTAAATATATTTCCACACCAAAAATACGACACAATCCAACAACAATGAACAATCAATAATAAGTGAGTGAGTGATAATAATAAGAATAGGGGAATATATAACTCATCTGACACCTTTCTGACTAAGCAGACAACCGATTATTATGATCCACACCCATACATTATTTATCATTATTGTTAATAATATCAGATGGGTTTTGTAGATATTATAGTAATTTCAATGGATTAGTTGAAGTTATACATTAACACCGTTAGGTGCCGGCTCAGTGGTCTAGTGATTAAGTGCTCGCGCGCGAAACCAGTAGGTCCTTGTTTCCAGTCTCTCAGGGGGCGAGGTCGTGAATGCGCACTGCTGAGAAGTCCCACAATAGGGTGAAACGGCTGTCCAGTGCTCTCAGGTTTTCCATGGTGGTCTAGCTTCATATTTTTTATACATTTTGTTTTGCACTACTGATATGATATATTAAAATGTTTTCGTATATCAACAAGATACTTAGCTAATAACAGAGATTGAACATTAGGAGATATAGAATAATAAATGAGAGCTTTCGTCTAAATTTGATCGAATAGTTTCCGAGTATTTGGGAGCCGAGTTTGTTATATCTTGGAGACTGTGTGCCCTGTTAATGATACCGCCAATTAGAGAACAGTGAATTATCAATCAGACTAATGACGCATGAAAACCGCGCGAGCAATCTAGAGCACTTATAAGTTCTACTTCCTACCTAATCCAGCCAGTTAAGTCCAAAGCACCAATCTCAGCCTTTGCAATATGAATCACGTATTTCAAACATACTGAATCTATATACACCAGCTAAACAGACCACATCGTATCATAAAATAGAAAACAATATTTGTACAAGATTTAAGCAAATGTGGCTGTGAATGTGGGACGTAGTAATTGATAAACAGGTCATAGCTCAAGAATGATAAATCGTATAATAATAGTTCATAGGTCAAAATAAAGCTCATAATAAGAGGAATACCGATATGCATAGTTTAGTTACATAACAATTATAAGATAAAATTATACGTATAGTATTAGACTAGAAATAGATTCCAATAGTTAACATTCATTATTCTCATCGGGATATAACAGAGTTGATGTGAGACATTGAAGATTAAGAATATTGTATTTGTAAAATCTTAGCGAACGAATTTGAAGTAAATCCAACGTTTCGTTTAGCAATCAGGTTCAAGCTTTTTCTTTGAAAAGTTCAAAAAAACACAACAGTGAATGAACAGATGATATTTATAAAAGAACATTTAAGCTACATTTTTAAAAAGAAGTAAAACATGAATACATCTGCTTTATTAAAACTGATTCTGTCATTGAATACCTTGGATCGCTATTTGTGCTCATCTGAATCCAATAGTCTTTGTCTACTTACATGGTTCAGGTTATTAGTCAATAAATTCATGGACTGACGATACGTTTTGGCTTAAACGCATATAGCTTTCTTCTTACTCGTAGTTTTATTGCATGTGTTGGTAGGTGCATGATGGACAGAGATTACACATATGATACTTAGGTTCATATGCAAGTGTATTGAACTACAGTCGCACTATAAAACAAAGAAATCATCACTATGAATATGCAATCCCAAAACAACTGTGAATAGAGCAAGTTGTCAGTCATAAATTGGTAACAAATTAGTATTAAGACTCATAATAATAATATGTTGAACGAGACTTTACCATAAAAGGAATATATAAACGTAATAATTCAGTAACTGCACAACAGAATTGTAAATATTGATTTGGTAAACGTTTCCCAAAGTTCCCCTACTTTTGCAATATCTGTTCTGTATAGCGTGATTCTAACTTCATTCCGTCTACTGTAATTTGAAAAACCTGCTGGTCGCATGAACGTGTATTTGTTTATTCAGAAATAGGATAATTTACTAATACATTATGAGTCGAGAATATTTGTAGAATAGGATCATAGACTTATTCGAATCATCATTTGTGTATTTTGGCGCCAATCAGTGGGTGATGTTGAGGTTAGAAACAGAGTGCTAAGTAAGGAGGAAATTGGTTGATGAGGTGGTAGGTCTTCATCAACTGAGATCATCGAGACATGTGTTACGCGTACCCGATTACCTTAACAGTCTAGGTTGTCTGGGTTAAAAGAAAGCTATTGGGAGTCAAACCAAATCACTGGTTGTTAGATTCGGTCATGCGGGTAGGTGTGGATCTCCTGGTCGCTACTCAACTATTATCATAACCGATGGTTAGAGGCTGCGTGATATGGCTTCGAATGATCAGAAATGAAGAGAGTGCATTCGTTTTTTGTAGTTTTTAAGTCCTTGAATACCGAAGTAACTTCATACCCTGTTGCTCCTTTTTAATTCTACTACTCTGGCATTTGAATTGATCATTTCAGCTTACTGTGCTGATATGTTAGGGTTTCAATCGAAGTACATATGTATCAGATTTTACTTTCCATATGGCTGAAATACATCTATAAATGTCGAGTGAATTAGTGAAGGATAAAATGTAGCATCTTTTGTTTAACACTTACGTAAATCTGAAATTTAATAAAATGGTTTGGACATTATACAATTGAACCTGACGCATGATGATAAACCGTACATATATTATTGTGTTTATTTATATGTATGAAATGGCCACTATTTTCTTTCAACAACTCGAACTTTAAGAACTAGTTCGTTTAGTAACTGAATTCATGAGTCGATTTAAGCTAACTAGACCACTTGATGGCCGTTTCATCTTAGTATGAGACTCTTCAGCAATGCTCATCCACAACCTGTTCATTTATTTAAATTCAAGAAATTACAACAACAACAAAAAACTGAACTCATTGTGTTTCACATCATACCTTATCATCATTGTTTTAGTTTTAAGTCATTTATTATTAAAAACTAAAGAGAATTAATAAATGAATTTCGCGCTTTACTTTAACAACACCATTGTTACCAGTAGTAACCACTTGTTAAAATTGAATTCAATAAACATTCCAAAAACTTACTAAGGAAATAATCATACAGTAATTGTGATTATAATGATGATTAGCTTTAGTAATAATAATAATAATCATAGAAGTAATAGTCTTAGTGTAACTATTGCAATTAATGACATTTTTCTTATACATTCTTAATTTGTATTTACATGCCTTTTATTGATGGTATTGTTGCCATAGTAACAGCTTTTATTATAATTAAATTAATAGATTAATTTTCTACCAGGGTTTTTTGTATGGTTAAAATGCAGTAAAATATTTTTGTATAAAAAAAGTGTAATTCAATAAATGAAGTTGTATAAAACATTTTGTAGTTGACGATGCTTTTATTAACCTTTTTGATTGATTAGAGGGATGAAAAGAACAAACTATAGTCTAACTGTGTAATGATTTTTCATCAAAGAAAATTACTAAATTGATCATACAAAGCTGTCAAAAGGTAGAAGAACTGGTTAACAAAGAAATTCTCATATATGATTTTGAAATGGTGGAGAAGATTTGTAGTTGAGTTGGATGATTTTGATGAAGTTTTGTTCTTTGAAATGGATGATTTAGTCGTGAAGCTTTCATTTTGAAGTTTGTGCTGATGATGTCGTTCAGAAGAACGATGAAAGCTCCATGACCAAACCATTCAACTCAGAGAACAAAAACAACTTACATACCTTGTGTAGAAACGGCTTCCGGTGAACTCAAGGAAGCTTTGAAAGAGCTGAAGACATTTCCTCCAATAATCGTTTGAAAGCACATTTCAGAATCTCGACGTGTAGCTCTTTGATTGGAAAACTTCTGAAAACCACTGCATACGGATTGGTGGATGACTGTAATGATGAATTTTTTTTTACCAAAATTCTATAAATACCTGAGTATTTTGCATCATATTTGACTGGTTGGAATAAGATTTCCTTCAACCCATATTTGGTCTTCTAACTTGCGACTTGGGATGTTCAAGCGTTCGAGTGCTCAAGTTGTACACGGTATATAAAAAATTCAAGTTCTTGCACTGAGACGCGCATATGATATTTGACACAAAAGATAAACATTTTTAGATATCAAGATGATATGATTTCTTGGCGATTATTCAAAGTGCTAAATGGTATTCATCAATGACTGATATCAGATAGGATACCACTGAAAACAAAAGTGCATTGCACACTTAATGACTCTACAGTAATAGTATGCACGTCATATGACTTTCAAATCTCTTAACCACTTAGTTGACATTCAATTTACCTCACAACATCTTGAGTTAATTGTATAAGATCAATTTGATTAGAATACTGTTTTTAATATTCAAGAGATTCCACATGTTTTCGAAGTAGAATATATATGAACCTTCCATTTCATTGTTGTTTTAACCTCAGTTTAAAGAATACACAAACATTTTTGGTGAGTTCATAATTATTAAGATACCTTGTCTTATTAGTTACTATTCTATTTATTTATCATTCTATACCCGTAATAACATTTATATCTGTAGAATGAAAAGTGTCCTAGTTTTATGTTTGAAGTGATTACGAGTTTACCTAGTCTGAGTATGGAACGAAGGCTCTATGACTCATTGACCAATAAGTTAGATATTTTGATACATCCCAGCCCCCCTTAACTAGAGACAGAAACCCATGTGTGAAATGGGGAAATATATTCCTCAAGCAGCCAGAAGCACGAGCAATCACATCAGGCACAAATAAAACGTATATATATACATCAAAAAATTGTCCTTAGGAAGCGTTACAAAATAGCATGCAACCAACCAATAGTGCTTAAGATCCTTCCAAGTGGGAAATACGACATGAAGGTAAAAGTGAGTGTTTTTGACGCGAAAACAAGAAATTCAAAAAT